GCCCCCCAGACAGTCCCCTGCATCCACTCAGTGGGCTGAGCTTCCCAGAGTGGAAAACGCCCCCAGGATTTCAAACCCCCCCACCACCACCACCGCCACCACCATTCTCCCAAAAACTGAGTCAAGAAGAAGAGTAACATGTTGGAAAAATGGTCGTCCTCACACCTTGCAGAGCAGCTCTGACGTAAGGCACCTGAGCCAGGTCCTTGTTCTGATGAGGACTATACATTAAGGTTGTCAGATTTCAAAGGGATGTTCGCAGTTTGATCGGAACAAAAAAGAGATGTTTTCACACCAGGGTATCAAAACCTCTGCAGAGAGACTTCTAAGCAGGTTGATGGGGACCAATCCTTAAAGAAATAGTTTGACATTTAAATTAGAAGACCATAGCATATGGAGCAAGCAGCTGATTAACTTAGAAACAAAGAGAACCTGCTAGCCTTGTTCTCCTGCATCAGTTTTTGCATGGATTAAGCAAATGAGGTATGGCGTAACATGTTACTTAGTGAGCTTTAGATTTTCTTTTCAGAGGGTTTTGTTACCTTTAGACAGAACCAGACCAGGAGTTCTCCCTGCTTTTAGCGTTTGTGCAGGCTATAGCTATATTTTACATAAAGACAGAGTGGGATTCATTTTCACATTTAACTTTCATCAAGAGGGTGAAACTGCATTTTACAGTACATATTCTGCATTAGTGTGGATACAGTCTTAATTATTTTGAATCAACAGCTCAGTGTTTAAAACAGCAGAGAAAGGCTGATATTTATTAGAAAACAGCAGAGAAAGGCTGATATTTATGTGACAGTGACAACAAAAGCCTTACTATTTATCTCTAGGCACTCGCAGTACACACATTGTGATGATGACAAAGCTTGATTTCCTTGAGAAAAATGAGAATGTAGTGGGAGGACTTCCTTTGGCCTTAACCTGCATGGTTATTTCTGTCACGTTAAACACTGTGCTTCTTCTCTTCACACACTTTCCCCCTCTGAGCTTAGTCAATGCCCCTGTTTGTGTGGTTGCCCATTTTTTAAGCCACAACACAGGATGAGCTCTCAAATCCTGCTAAAAGCCTCCATTCTCTGTCTCTCTGTGAGACAAACTGATGAGCATGACAAGTAGAAAGACAAGAAAAAAGAGAGTGAGAGAAAAGGAAAGAAGAGAGAGGAGGACTGGAGATGAATCAGAAACAAGTCTCTGGAGCTGCCTTTGCTTTAGGGAGGAGAAACACCTTCTTTACCACAGTCACCTTGGACAAATTACCTTGGCATATAAATGTGATAAATATGTAATTTCCCAAGGTTCCCCAGTTTGTCAGCAATTCATGCATACACAGTGCAGGCTGTTTCCTGTGTGACACATGATGGCCTGTGTGGATGTCTAATGTAATGCCAACAAATAAAGCAGTTATAAACATAGGGAATAAAAATGT